GCGCCCCGCGCCCCTGCCGGCGAGCGGGCACCCCGCCGCAGGCGCTGGTGGACGACACCGAGGATGTGTCCCTCGACTTCGGGAGCGAGGAGGAGCTGGCGCTGCGGAAAGCAAAGATCAGGTAACGGCGCGGGGCGCGGAGCGGGCCCGGTACCGGCGCGGAGGCCTCAGCGTCGCGGCGCCCGCCTGAGGTAACGGGGCCTGGGCAGCCGTTGCTGACTGACGCACCGACATACAAGAAACTCCGTTTAAACCCTTAATTCGCATTGTTTTTTTCACAGGGAGGGTGGTCAAGCGCTGGAACAGGCTGCCCGGGGAGGCTGCGGAGCCTCCGTCCGGGGGCCGCTCGGTGCTGGGCATCCCGCTCCGGCTGCCCGGGCTGGAGCAGGCGAGGCCCGCGGCCCTGCCAGCCGCACCGCTGCTCGGCAGGCTCACCCTCGTCCTGCCGTTGGAAACAGAAATTTTACATACCCAGAGCCAACATATCGAAAAAAAAAAAACACCACTAAAAAAACCCCACCAAAACCCAAACCCAACCCAACAGTATTTTTTTTTAGTGCTGGAGAAGTGGAGAGCACTCTCCTTTTCAGCAAAACAAGCTGTGCAGCAGAGTGCTCTGGCATTGCATTGCACACCCGGCTGAAGGGAAACAACAAGTTGTTTGCAATAAGACTGTCATGTTTTCCTACCAGGGGATGTGATGCTGTGTGAAATATACCATATCTTATCCTTGTAGCTGTTACCCAAGAAAACCCAACCCATTGATCCGTCTCATCTGTCCGGTGAAGCAGCCTACCATTACATTACCAGAGGTGTCACTCTCAGCTCTGTTCTCACCGAGGTCCCAGGTGACAGAGCTGTTCAGTAGCTTTTGAAGAATCTCCAGTCAAAGACTGTCAGGGGAAAAGTTTTATGTCAAAGAAGTTATACATATGCATGCACTTGTCAATAATGTGTATAATGAGCTTTGATTTATATTGCTTTCTTCCCTTCCACCGTGCCCCAGTTTACTCTCATCTTTTACAGTGTTAGTATTTCTTGTAGGTATAAACAAAGAAAAATAAGAGCTGTTAAGCCTAACAGATGTTATTTGAGATGTGCAAACAAGCAATCACATAGCTTTACAATACAGTTACTGTTTTACTACTGTCTGGTGAAGCATTTCTGCCCTTCCAGTGCATTGGACTTTGCAACTACATGATGAGTTGACACAAGATTAACGTTCTCAGAGTTGCTCTGTTTCTGTGCTTTAGCAGCAGCAGCACACATTTTAAATGAAGATTTATATTTTGGTGCAGTCTTGGAGAACATAGCCTAGGATTAAACTAAACTGAGAAATACAACTTGGGAGTGTCTTGAGCACATGAGCCACAGATTCGGTCTATGGGACCAGACAGAGTTAGCATGAAGTGAAACCACCCTGAAATGTTTGTAGGAGGTCCGCAGCACCAGTTACTTTAGAGATCTGTTCCTACTGGTTCATGCTACCCAATAATATAGACAGGCAAAGTATCAGTAAACCATACTCTAAATTGATCTGCTTTGTGTAGATACTTATTTCATTAGAGACTGCTCTTCTTTCTTGCCCTCATTGTGCCAATACTAAAGGATAATCTCATATGAAAAATCTTCTGCTATAGAATACAGAAATGAAACTCCTTACATAGTTTCACATAGAAGTTTGTTTTTTTAATTCCAGAGAATCTTGTGCAAACAAGCCTGGAACACACCCATATGCTGCAAAATTTTGTTGTCTTATTAGAGGGCATAACAACATCTTCCAATCATTTGTCTTTAACTTTATCCCAATTTCCTGTATCTTGAACTTGGTCAGAATTTGCATAAGCTATGACAGGTTGTGCTTTTTGTGATTCTCCAAGGTTTATGTGGGTGCTCTTTTAAAAACAAAAGTTATGTGGATAGTGACTTAGTGGCTACTTTCATAAGAAGGTTAGGAAAAAGATAACTTACACCATGTTTGCAGTTCATTGCAGTATCAGAGCATTTGATCTGGAACAGTTAGGAGCATACGATCGCCTCTTTTTGAAATCAGCCAGGTAACACAAGATGATCAAGCCACTGAGCCCATTTGTTCAAAATTTGCCTAGGTATATTTGGAGTACCAGACAGGGGTATACAAAGCAGCATAGAAAGTGCTGCCGTGGCACTTCTGAGCAGGTACTGGGAATGACTCCCCTGTGGTTCAGTCCTTAGGGTTGACCCAGTTTGGTTCCTTAATATGGGATGCAACTAAATTCGTACGAGCTCATTCCTATCCCAATAGGCATCATGCTTGCAAGCTGAACGGAGGTTATTGTAGCAAGATAGATGGTAATGATTTAGCCTCAAGGCTCCAGTTCTGCACTACAGGGATGTTTAGATGCAATAGGATAACTAGAAGTCCAAGCAAGTGGGTTGCTATGCTTTCAGGAGCAAATGCAGGCCAAGCAGTGCCAGCGCAGAGTTTTAAGTTACCTTTATTGGATTTGAATGCAAAAAAAAAAAGGTTGTTTTAAAGCCTGTGCTGTCTTCCATTAGTGCAATAAATTATGTTAGCTTATGCAATGGTTTCTTAATGCCATCATATTTCTGGAAATTAGCTTTTAAAAAATTTATAAAGTACAATTGAGTTCAGTATAAATGCATTCACTTAAGAAAAGCTGTAAAGTTTTTTGTTTCAAATAGGATGATTTGGCTTCAGGTTTTAAAGGACAATTTTATCTATCTGGGATTATCTCATTAAAAATTCCATTCGTATACAATAGGAGCTATGGGTTTCATCTGACGACTGTGAATTAAGACGACATTTGTTCTGTTAAGTGAGGAAGTGCACAGTTTATTTACTTGATTCTGTTAGTTTCAGGATTTTTTTTTTTTTAAAGCATAAACAGGAGGACATTTTCTGAGATTGAGAGAGTTGTCCAAAGAATGAGGTGCAAGTTTTGGTATATCTCCATATTCCTCCCCTAGGACAAGAACCTGCAAGTCTGTCTTTGGCTTGGCTAGCCATATCCTTGTGAGAGGACTGATATTCCATAGCCTCAGTAAAGCATTTAGCACTGTAATAAATGTGAGCCTCTTGCTCATACACTGTTTTGTTTAGTAAACACCCTTCAAATTTTGATACTGGAACAAATTCAGCATCTAAACAGTAATTCATCATCTGACTTCCAAAATGAAACACTGCTTCTTCAAAGTTACTTTCACATTTGAAGCAGTGATATAGTTATAGAAGCTCGGTCCACCCCGATGCGCTTTAGGGTTGTGATCTATGAATAGCTTGTATTGACACTTACGTAATGAACTCTTACGTCTTCTTGAAGAAGGTCAAGACTTGAAGTAGCAAGACATGATCTGTTTTCGACAGTTCACAATATTCCCTCCGCTCAACCCACCCACCTGTCTGCTTACGGCAGAAAAAGCACCTTTAGCTTAAAATGTCACATGTTTAGTTTTAAGTCAGAAGAAGTTTTTGGAAAGTTTGAGGTTAGCATGGGCATGATCACGAGTTAATATAAACTACAGCTGTGCGTCATGCTTGCTTGTCCAGTCATGTGTATGTAGTACTACAAGCACAATATTGCCATTATAGAATACATAATTACTGGAACAGTTAAACAGCTATAGCATAATAATATTACAATTAAGATATTAATATAATAAATTATAATTTGATTAAAATTATAATAGTTAAGTTTTATTATAAACCATTATAATGGTGTATATAATATGTGTATCATTGTATTATACACAATAGAATAACAACTTTTAATAGTTGAATAGTTAATTATGACCTAGGCTATACTACTGTTAATTGTTTACAGAGGCAGAGGAGCTTAACAAGACAATTGCTGACTGAAAAAAAAAATCCTATTCAGAAAACAATTTTATTCACTCAGCTTCAAAGGAAGAAGTTGCTTAAATACAATAGCCTCTAGTTAATCGTCACTTTAATTAACACGAACACAACTGTACAGAATAAGCTTTTGCAGTTGGCATATTACCCTGAAAATTGTACTGTGCTCATTATAGCATTCTCCAAATCCCCTGTCTTACTGTACAGGCCGATATCCCGTGCCATGTAGTTACTTCTTCCACTGAAATTCCCCTTTATTTTGTTATAGGCAAAGTTTTGTTTGATGAGCAAAGCACAGATGTCTAGTGAGATTCATTCACAAGAACTGTAAGATTCCCAAATCATATTCCCTCTGTAAAAGGAAGTGTTTGGTTTCAGACATTACATATGACTGCTCATTTTTTCTTATACCCAACAGCTATATTTTTTAATTTTTTTTAAGTTTGAGCTCCTGTTCTTGTTTTCAAAACAGTTTTGAAAGGCATAAGATCAGTCTCAATTCTTTTGTGCCTTGCAATGCTGATTTATTTCATAAAACCATGAGGATTTTAGTGTTGAACACAGCCACTAAATTCCTTCCTGCAGTACCAAAGAAACCAGTGAAAGACTCTAGATTTTGTTCTATCTTTGAGAAAGTTTTGACATGAACAACACATTCCATCTTTTAGCTTTAGATTGAAGGTTGGCTATTGGAAATACTATTGCTTTGATAATGAAGATATAGATCAACATATGAAATAATAGCAGCTACAAACCCAAATACCATTATAGACTAGAAATAGTTGTGTTATATATGTTGTTAGCAAATACTTTAACATTCCTTCTTGTCCCAAAACTTCCTAAGTGGTCTCTGTTCTCTTTTTTTTCCTAGGCACCCACTGGCCACCTTTTTCCACCTGTTTTTCCGAGTGAGTGCTATTATTACCTACTTGTTCTGTGACTGGTTCAGCAACAGCTTTGTTGCCTGTTTTGTCACTATTCTCCTCCTTCTATCCTTTGACTTTTGGTCAGTTAAGGTAAGATGACCCCGAATAGTAATTACCTTTGAAAGTATTTTGTGTGCCATTAAATATAACAAAAAGGAAAATATGTATACTGACAAAAGTAAAAAACACATTGTGATCTATTGATTTATTAGATGTCTAGCCCATTGTAATTAGGACATTTACATATCTTAGTTACTGTTTATCACCATGTTCTCTGTGGCTGATGGGAGCTACTAATATGGTGAGAAAATTGCCTTGCCATAAGTAGGTTTGTTTGTATGCTTTCCCCCTTCAGAAAAAGAAATAAAGTAATACTGGCTTTCAGTAATGGATGCCAAAGGACATCCAAGCACCAGTGCCCTAATCACGTGCAGGCAGGTGGGTCAGCCCAGCCCAGGACCCCAGGGGCTCCACATATGGAACACGGCTTTTGTTCTGTAAAAGTGAAGCACCTCCAGTATACTGAAAACTTCTATATTCATCCAGGTGCAGAAATATTTTCTTAATTTGTTTGCTTGACCCCATGCAGCTTACTTGCTTACAATTAATCTTCCATTTCTTCAGTGTGTTTTTGTTCGCCGTTCTCCTCTCTTACTGAGAAAATTTGTTTATCAGGGGCTTCTCCAACTAACTGATAGAAAAGATACATCCTATAATTTCTTACCTAAATCAATGTTATTGTGCTAATTACATTAGAAGAGGAAAACAGGCCTCTAAATTAGTGGTAACTCATCCATCCTTAATGGCTGTTCTGCTCAAGCTGGCACAGCTTTTAGAACTAATTTTGGGATTTGATAAAAGAATATGATTTTCAGACATGCTTGTCTTTTCTTTTTAATGTTAGTCTGACAAGTGAATTGTACAACCGATTAATGCAAATAATTGTTTCTGTCACTAGAATGTGACAGGAAGACTCTTGGTTGGTTTGCGTTGGTGGAACCAAATTGATGAAGATGGAAAAAGCCACTGGGTGTTTGAAGCAAAAAGGGTAAGTATGTTAATAAAAGTAGGCACAGGACAAATAGAATCCATAGGAAAGATTGTAAAGCTGATACTAAGTCAAATAAAGTAACAAATAGAGCACCTTTGTAACAGCTACCTTCTATCCAGCTTCTGTAGAAGATAAGGTAAGTATTCAGTTGCAAGCACACTGGATTGTCACATCCTGGAAGCATTCAGAACAAAACTGGTCTTGCAACATCATCATCATATACATCAGCAGAATAAATATTCATGGAATGGTAACACCATCTGGATGAAACGTTTCTGGCAGTTCTATTTTATTTTCTAGTGAGAACATCTTGTAACAAACATCTTCCCATAGCTAATCCCAACACAGAATCCTGTTCAGGAAAGATCTGTGTTGAATAGTTCCAATTCAGTATTTTAAAAAGAATGTTTTAGAATCATAGAATGGTTTGGGTGGGAAGGAACCTTAAAGATCACCTGGTTCCAACCCCCTGCCATGGGCAGGGACACCTTCCACTAGACCAGGTTGCTCCCAGCCCCATCCAGCCTGGCCTTCAACACTTCCAGGTAGGGGGAATCCACAGCTTCTCTGGGCAACCTGTGCCAGTGCCTCACCACCCCCAGAGTGAAGAGTTTCTTCCTTATCTCTAACCTAAATGTACCCTCTTTCAGTTTAAAGCCATTACCCCTTGTCCTGGGACTACACGCCCCTGTAAAAAGTCCCTCTCCAGCTTTCTTGTAGGCCCCTTCAGGTACTGGAAGGCTGCTATAAGGTCTCCCCAGAGCCTTCTCTTCTCCAGGCTGAACAACCCCAACTCTCTCAGCCTGTCCTCCCAGGAGAGGTGCTCCAGCCCTCTGACCATCTTCGTGGCCCTTCTCTGGCACTGTGCTCATGGAATATGGTGGGGAATAGAACCCAGACCACAGAGCATTCTGACACTGCCAGTGCTCCCCTTAACACCCTGAGCAAAAAAAAGCTATAAAATGGCACTTGGCACCCCTGCCAGGGTCAAGACTGCAGGTTTTCACTTTCACTTTCTAACATTCTCTCCACAGCCCCATTCAGGCAAGAGCCTGGCAGAACAACGCCTCAAGCGCTATTCACTAGGCCATTCCTTTCAAGCAAATCCAGCTGTGCACACAGCCTGGGTACTGAGGAAGCGTAAAACGCTCGGTGTGCGGGTCTGGACTGCCCTCTAGCAGCCCTGCGCCCATTCGCAGTGAGAACGCGGCCAAGCAGGAGTGCAGCCGTCACAGTGGGGCTGCACACCAGTAAGAAGAGGACAGATGTTAACGTTCTTCCCATAATCTAAGCGAAGCCTAAGAGAGAATATAAGCAAGCATGAAAGCAAAGAAACTAGAAGACCTTCAGAGTTTCTTAGTTCCATCAAGTCGAGACAGTAAGCAAGAGCTTTCTTAGCACTTAAAAGCAGTGGCGTCCACAAGATGACCTCCTGACCTCAAAATTACCATAAAAATGAGCAAGCCTAGTTCACCTATTACAGTTTGTTAATTCTAGCCTAGAAGTACAAAGTTGACTCATCTGTCCGGGCTAAAACCTTCCAAAAATTCTGATAAATAGTAGCTTGATTAATGTGAAAATCATAGTATGACAAGAAGGAACATGTAATTAGAGTAGATTGTATTTTTGTCATGGCTTATCTGTAGGAAATATTTTGTCATGGCAAGGTCCTGGAATACATGCGATTCTCTTATTTTCCAGAGTCAGGTATTTCCCCCCCTCCTCTGCCAGTCCTCTGCCAACTTTTTAAGATCTCTTCCTTTATGGGTGAATTTGCTTAGAAATATTCCAAATCACTCACCAACAACAAGCAGCTAATTCCTGGCATGCTGCTGATGCAGCAGCAGTTCGCCCACAAAATCCCATCTTCTGCTGGAAGAAAAGTAATTCTTACACCTACATTGCAAACATCACAACTGCATGACTGCAGCCTTTTGTAATCTTGCTCATCAAGTTAACTAGGTCTTTTAGGTGTAGTGTTCTCAGGTGTACTGACTTTATTTTCTCTTAAATAGTGCTAATACAATGTCACTGTTGGGTAATTTGTCAGTAATTTGGGATACAGGTGATTAAATCCTTTTATTGACTCAGAACATGTCTTTTTCTGTAACTATGAAGGCATGGAACGTTATTCTCTGGACCTCTACAACATCACTGGTTTAGAGGGTACATGACAAAATTAAAGACACCTTGTAGTTATTGCATCTTGCAGGGTTTTCTTAGGCAAGACCGAGTAACTTAACTGTATTTGCAAGTTGGATGCCATTGTCTGCCTCATGATGGATGGATGGATGGATGGATGGATGGATGGATGGATGGGTCTTATTTTTACATGGAGATTTCAAGATACTGAAAATGAACTAAAAGGCTTTTCGGTTTTCAGAGTGGAAGAGTCCACAGGATTTTCTTTCCCACTTGTGAAGCTTGTATTTCAGACGCTAGCGCTAGCGGTGGTTGAGTGGTCTGACGTTTGGAGTGAGATCTTAAATTCTGGTCTCCTAGGAGAGATCAGAACCTTCTGAACAATTCTCTCTCTTTAGTTTCTCTTAGGTGTTGGGAGTTAACAATGAGCCTTTCAGTGCAGATAGACACAAGAGTTGTGCTGACCTGAAGAAATCTTCAACCAGGGCTTTCTGCAGCCTGCTTTGAGGTTTTTTGCTCTCCCTGAAGAACACAAAGAGAGCACCCTGGATAACGATGCCTCTTTCAGAGATGCCAGCAGTTGCTATAGTGTCCAACACTGGTACTGCAGAAGAGGCATTTTCAAAGCCACAGTTCTTAATTTATGGAATATCAGTGGACTTCATAAGCAAAATTGAAGTATTTACATAATAGAAAACTAAGCTTCACGCAAGATTTAAATTAAGCTAAGATACCGCATGTTTTTAGGAAAATGTATGGAAATGGGCACTGTTATGAGAATTCCATTGTCTGAACTGGAACCACCTGATAAATCCCGGGGGGGAGCTGTAAAGTTTGCTTGTTCGCACTTGCAACAGCTCATTGCGATTTCCATGTTAGGTACTATAGCTTTTCCGATACTGGACTGATTTTTTTCCCCCATCCTTTTGATTTGCGAACAGGGCACGTGTCACGAATCTCCACCACAGACAGCGAAGCGCTCGCACTGAAATGCGGCTTGTAACACTGTCTTGTGTTTCACACTTCTCTAAGGCCTTGGTAAAGTCTGAATCTAATTTCAAAGTTAACTTAGTATTTCTGAAGTTTAAAAGCTGACAATTGTCAGTGTAACAGACCTTTGACTTTAAAGTACTACTAATCTGTAGTGTTAGTGGGAGCTACCGCTGACGAAAGGAATAATTCTCTCATGTAAACGTGAACAGAGACCAGAACATTTTGGAAAGAAAATGCTGTCGTGTATGGTAGGGCAGCAGGCAGAAAACAACTACTCTGCTTATTCAATCTTCCTTCCGTGTGTATAATAAGTGAAATCTAGGTAAAGAAGTACTTTTGACCATTCCTCCTCCTCTGCTGATTTGTTATTTATTGTGGATTTTGTCTCTGCGACTAGCTGTTTCAATAATTTTCCTTCTAGGTGCCTACAATAGCTGCCTCAACAGAAGCTGAAGCTCGGATCTTTTGGCTTGGTCTCATCATCTGTCCAGTTATTTGGACAGTGTTTTTCTTTAGCACCTTGTTCTCCTTGAAGCTGAAATGGCTGGTAAGTCTGGGGGTGCTGAAAGACCTACGGCTGGCAGACAACGTTAGTGGAGGGAAATCCCAGATCTGTTAGATTTTGAACCAAATCTTCCAACAGTACAAAAATCCCACTAAGAGCTTCAACAAATCAGAGGGGTTTTCTGCAGTCAAGCCCTGCGCTCCGCAACGGATTTGTAATTTTTAGCCTCACTTCTACTAGGTTATCGGATGTCAGCTCCTTCAGCTCACTGGAGAACCTTGAGTGGTTGGCAAAATTATGGATGACTTTTGAACTGTAGCAACTTACTTTTCCCCAACTTATTTCAGTCAAAGGAAAATAATAGGAGAGGCCGAAAAATGAACCAGTGATGCTGGTTTTCAGGTTTTCACATCTCCTTGGGACTCGAATGTTACTTGCTCTTAAAAGTAAGGATTTTAGATCTCTGGTGCCATTCCCTTTTGAAAGAAATGGTATCATAGTGCTTAAAACCTTATAAATTGAGCCATAAGTATGTATTTTATAATTTCTGTATTAATAAGCCACTACTCTACAAAAAAAAAAAAGAAAACCATGACACATTTTTCTAAATGCAAGAGGAAATTTACCCCATATGTTGCATTATCTTAAGATATTTTTGCCCGTGAAATCTTCATGTTTTCCCCTGTAAACTTTAAGTGCTTGGATAATCACCACAGAATTCATTTTGTCAAGCTCCAAGCCGTGCTAAGTACAATTTCTTAATTCAGTTTGAAAAGACAAAAAGTGTCTTGGCCATCTGCAGCTACGCAACCAGTAACAGCCAAGATTACATTTCATTACTAAATGAAACAGGAAATTCAGCTATGGGTGTGAATCAATTGCAAATCATTAACTGCTCTCTAGTGCCCCGAACAGCGCAGCTAAACAAGCAATAGTTAAAATCAAAGCAGGCTTTCTCCACGGCTCCACCTTTATTTTTGAAGACCAGAGATTGTTTGCTAAACTAAGAGCTGGTTGGAGAAGGAACCCCACCTAGCGCTGGAGGCAGGTTGCTCAGGTGCTTGTAAAGGGCAAGTTACACAAACGAACATAGGACAGCTTCCAGGAAACTCTTTCTGAGGCTAAGAAACTCACTACAAGAAGGACATCGAGGTGCTGGAGCGTGTCCGAAGAAGGGCAACGAAGCTGGTGAAGGGTCTGGAGCACAAGTCTTATGAGGAGTGGCTGAGGGAGCTGGGGTTGTTTAGCCTGGAGAAGAGGAGGCTGAGGGGAGACCTTATTGCTCTCTACAACTACCTGAAAGGAGGTTGTAGTGAGGTGGGGGTCGGTCTCTTCTCCC